ATGCAATTAGCGATTTTTATATGTTCACCACTTGTTGATGTGTTTTTACTGAGTTTTCAAAACCACCCTTCCTATCGTGGCTTTTCAAAACCAACGTCCCTAGGAATTCTGGCTCAACTGCAGGCACTTTTGGGGTATGGTAGCATGGGAACCATCAGACTGGGCCTGCATATCCAGTGCGCTCGGGGGCCGGGTTATGCCTGGGAAGTTCCGCAGTCACGCGGAAAAAATCTGGTTGTGAAACCACTAGCATCAAGCACTTTACCCAGAACACCACGTTTCGTTCTAGACTTTCCAACAACCAACATGTTTTCGTCTGAAAATGCAATACCCCATTCGATCAATCCACTGTTTTCCGCATTGAAATAGATATGAGTTGGGGTATCCGCGTTCTTCAAAACACACACAAATATCATATCAAGTTGGTTGGTTAAAAAAAACATGCCATAGCCATATCCCCATGAAATATCACAACTACACAATTAGTCATCCCATTCCACCCAAAACATACCCTTTTTTTTCCCACGAGTTCTATCCCCATGTCAGTTGTGTCCCCAAAGCTGGTAATAACCATTCAGAAAGTTATGAATCCACTTATCATTATATTCCCATTCATTTAAAAAAAAAAAACATTAACCGCTGTCTATGTTTTTTCTAACCTCGTAATTACCATAGACCCTGCGATTCAGGGTTGGAAGATTAGTGTCCACTCAAAGTTTGCTATTTTCAGGTATAGCTAATATCCATTTGTAACAATTGTTGCAGAAGTCGTTATTAGTATGTAATATTATTAGTCGCTTATGGTAATATTCCCATTAAATTCCCATTCTGACTGCTGTAATATTGCTTATATTTATTGTTGATGGTTATTGCCATAATTAAAATTATAGTAGATATGATGTCCACAATTATCATATTATTTCCATAATATGATACGAAATTGAATCATAGACACAATCATTATTTGACATTTACTATATGTAATCGTGTAAATATTTGACAATATGATCCACTATATGATAATATTTGATACACTACAATATGATCCACTATATATCGAAATTATCATAGACACAAATATGATCCACTATATGATAATCATGATTATGTCTATGATTCTCGTATCATAGTTGCCCTCTGGTCATCAGCTCCATGGCAACTGCAAAATCCTTCATTGACTTCGAGGACTTTTCCAGCCAGGTTTGATTGCCCCAGGGTTCCATTAATGGTTATGATATGGCAGTGTGTCAAAACCATGTACCCCTACCAACAACCATCACTGGGCTGGTCTCACCTCGTCACACTGCTTCGTGATGGTGTCGTCTTTTCCCATTAAACAAAGGACTATTTTGGAGTATACAATAGGAATAAATTGGAAAAACACATAATTACTGAAATATGTCCAAAATGGGGGTATACTCCCATTATTATCAACATATCATCCCCCATGGCCCATATTATATGAACTATTTATAGTATCTGGGTAAATTATAATATTTCACTAACCTGAATTAAGGCCATTTGGGGATGATTCCCCTAACATAAACCATGATTCCCAGTGAGGTCCCAGTGAGGTCGTTATAATTCACCCAGATAGTATATGGTAGAGTATACCCCACACCTCCCCCCGCCTCAGTACTTCGCTTCCTCGACCTCGGCCATGGGTCGCCTGGGTCGCCATGGCGATCTCCGACACACGGAACGTCCGAGTTCTCTCTGAACGTCTGGAGCCCGGATCATCGCACGGCCGGCGGCCAGTTTTCCATGGGATCAGCGGTGAAAACGGGTTTTCATCGGAACAGATGTGGATTTTCGGTCGGATTTCACTTGAAAAGTGTTGAAAAAGATGGATAGAAAATTTCAGCATGGAGATTTCATCAATTGCGACAAAAACAGTGCTGTTTTTGTACAGCGAAAAGGAAATGCTTTGGGTTACCACGGCAGCAAATGGGGTTATACGCCGATATGGTAGTTGATTCTTGTCCTCATCACCAGATTGCAATAGTACCAATAGTCCCACTTGAGATCATTCAAACCGGTAGGAGAACCTTTTTTCTCAGCATTAACGATGGACTGGGAATTCTTCATTCCATGTATCGCATAGCCAGCCTCCGGTTATGCGAAAATGGCGAATCCTGAAAAATCCACCAGAAAGAGTTCCACTGGAGTTTCCCACGTCCAGAAGCTTGATCCTCTCGTAAACGTTTACACTTTGCGAACTGGAACATCACCATTTTTGAATAGGTAAATCAACTCTAAAATGGAGAAAAATCCATAGCTATGTTAAATTACCAGCGGGTGCATGTTCCCCTGTGGGATTTTTTACAATAGCATGGGATTACAATCCCTGGGATCTCCAGAAAGATATAGATTCCATAGGTGACATTCCCCATCTATCATAGGTGACATCTCCCATGAAAGTTTTTTCTTGGTTATATCACATCCATTAAAAAAAAAAACAAGGTTTGTTGCATAATTTGGGATGTGATAAATCCATTTTTTGATGGGATAAATAGTTCTGATATGGGGAAATTGTGATTGGTAAATTATAGGGATCCACAATCTTTTTTATGGGATAATTCATGGAAACTGTCAACGTCAATCCATGATTCTTGGTCCCCATGAATTTAACCGTGGGACGTTGACAGTTTCCATCTGCACCCATGACTTCCCGTCGAATCTCCTTGAGCTCTGACATCTCAGCGATGGGAATCCTTGGTTCGCAACCATGGGAATATCATGGGGATATCATGGGGATATCATGGTATAAATATGAGAATAATATGAGAATATTGGACCAAAAAAAATTGGGCATGGTTCAAAATCCTTATCAACCAGTATTTGGTATACCCTCTGGTAAACAGTCACAAAAAACGATGGAAAGATCCACCATTTTATAGCTGGGGATTTATCCACTATTTCTATCACCATTTTCAACAGCTATGTAACAAATTACCAGAGGGTAAATATGAGAATAGATAGGCAGTTCATTTCGGAATAGCTGGCAATTCAACAAGAATTTCTATATGGAATAGATGTGCGGCAACATCATATGGAAATGTAACCAACATTTCCCAATGTATGTATATATATATATTGGGTTTATTATTTATACTATACCATCACCAACATATGGTATAATATATCCAAGCAACAAATATGTTGAAACATTGGTAATATGATGGCATAATCTGGTGTATCACCAACAATCTGATGTTTGGGTGCCGCCGAGAATGAAGTATATCCCCCAAATGCATCCAAATGCCATTTTGACATGTAAAATGATGATAAAGCGACAAACTTTGGGTACCGATATCTATGAGACAAAACACATATCTAACACAGTCTATTAAAAAAAAACACTTAACCTACTTAAAAGCCAACTTACCTATGTATTGGGGCCCTCCCTTGGGTTATACAACTGGCTAGAAAAGTTGGGCTCAACAAAAATGCTGCTGTTCTAGTTCGCTACTTTTTCGAGGCCATGCCTGGATGTAAGTCTAACCATACTGGCTTGACACCTTAAGAGACCATTTGTTTAAACCATAGGAAAACCATAGGAAAACCATAGGAAAACCATAGGAAAACCATAGGAAAACCATAGAAAAATGATGAAAAATGGAGGTTTACCCTCTGGTTCTTCAACATAGCTATGAAAAAAATGACCCATAGAAATAGTGAGGATTTTCCCATAAAGAATGGTGAGATTTTCCATGGCTATGTAACAAATAACCAAAGGTAACCAAATTTACCATGGAAATCCCCAAATCACTGAGCCTTCGGGCCAACTCTCCAGCCCCACGTGCCACACGGGCGTTAGGCCGTTGATTTCATCGCGCTGCCACCTCCAAAAAATGTCTTCATATATCATAGAAATGTAAAATATGGATCATACTATTATATATAACTTCTATAAGCATTAATATCTATTGTTATATCATGTAAATGTAAAATGGATAAAAATGGATCATATATATATATAGTTGGATCATCTGGAAGTTGCATTCTGCTGGAAACTCGGACTTAAGGTGATACTTTTCCAGTGGCGTTTTCGCGTTCCTATTTTCGGACAAACCTATTTTTTTGTTCAGTGGTTAAATCAGTTTTTAAAAGAGAAACAACATATGTCTGGTATCATTTTGACTGGTCAAATCCCACATGTTTGGACAAAACCAACAAAACCAAAGCCATATTATTTACAGTATCTATATGGAAAAAATATCCGAATTTGTTCGTGAAATCCCCCGGTGTTTTGTTGGTTTCGTCCAAAGTTTCCCAGTTTCCCACCTTGCGCGTAGCTGCGCCACGGTCCAGGGACCTGCTGGTTGTCCCGTAGTGGGCTCCTGGGAAAGACTGGAACTGAGAGCATTTCCCGGGCCAAAGGAAGAAATACATGTACTGTATACATATATATATATATATATAAATATATATACATATTGATATTTATATATATACATATACATATACATATATATTTATATATATATATATTTATATATATATGTATACGTACATAGTTATTTCCCAGCGAACTAAACCTCCACGACTGGTTCGAGGATTTTCCAGCCACGTCCAGAAGCTTGACCCTCAAACGTTTACACTTTGCGAACTGGAAAATCCCCCTTTTGTAATAGGTAAATCAACTATTTCTATAGCCATTTTCAATGGCTATATCGAATTACCAGAGGGTACATACTTAAAAGGTACCATCTGGTTATGACGAACATAGCCATGGTATAGATGGCCCATAGAAATAGATGGTTTACCTATTAAAAATGGATCTTTCCATGGTTATGTTAAATAACCAGATGGTACATGTCAATATGGGTTTCCCTTTCGAAACATATGTTTTTTGTCTTTCAAAGTCGTGGCCATGTTCTTTTTGTATATCTACATACTTGAATCATGGCTTCCCCACATCATATGTGTTTCACATCACCTTCTCACGCCCTTTGTGTCCTGGTAGTACCACTCATGGGAAGTCTCGCCGCCTTCGGTGCCTTCCGTTTCAGGCACCTGAACCGGTGCAATTTGTGCGGTGCAAACATGGCGAAATCTGAGGGAAACATGGGATAACTATGATGACCAGTAAATGTTCACATAGACATGGAAAAAAATACCAGGTGTATGTATCATTTTTGCCAGGAAACGATGATGGTTTTCCATATCGTCATGATAATTTCATGCAGGCTAGCTTTGTCTAATCCTAAGCATAACCTACTTGAGTTGGATTCGTAGGGCAATTTACCCTAGATCATATCCCTTTCCTTCTTTCCCTTTCCTCTTCTCCTCTTCTCCTCTTCTCCCCTTCTCCTCTTCTCCTCTTCTCCTCTTCTCCTCTTCTCCTCTTCTCCTCTTCTCCTCTTCTCCTTTCCCTTTCCCTTTGGCTTTCTCCTTTTCCTTTCCCTTTCCCTTTCCCTTTCTCCTTTCTCTTTCTCCTTTCCCTCCTCCTTTCCCTTTCCCTTTCCCTTTCCCTTTCCCTTTCCCTTTCTTTTCTCCTTTCTCCTTTCTCCTTTCCCTCCTCCTTTCCCGATGCCGTGTCCCTTTACAAATGGAACGCAGTGATAGCCTATAGATGGCGCAGTCCAAAATTATGGTTTTCCCTCCAAAGGACCCCAAATTCATTGCAATCTTAATACTAAATTAAACTAAACTAGAGGAAAACATATTGTTGTCAACCACATGTGTTAGGAACCTATAAATGGCGCAAACCACCCCATCCCCCAAGTGGTCTGTAGACTGCGCAATTCAAAAATTAGCACCATCCATTTTCAGAATGGAGTACTCCATTTCTTCCATGCCTACTGCCATTTCTGGAGAAACAGATATCATATTCTTGGTCGTATACATCTGTGTATGTATATATATATATAGTTACATAGTTCATGAGCAGCTGCCGCAACGACGCATCGTTCCGATGAGCTATGATCGATGGGATCGATGGTCTATGGTCATCCCATTCCATGGGAATCCTAACATTCCATGGGTTTTTTGTAACCTCCACAAAGATGGAAAAGCTTAGAATAGCAGGATTGTACTCTTCTATCATGTAGGGGGCGCTTCTACTTTACATTACTATGTATATATATATACATATGTCTATATATATATGATGTGATGTATGTATGCTTGTATATATATATATATACACATTATATATACACATTATATACAGCCCGATAAATGGATTGATGACCATTCCCCCCAAACATGGCCAGAAACAATCCGAAAGCCATCGCGGCAACGCGCCTCTTCGGACGGACCTGGAGCGTGGGGAAGAGGACCTGCCTCTGCACCTGCGCAGGGAGGATGTGTAGCAACCTCCCAAAGTGGCCATTACCCTCTGGTAATTTAACGTAGCTATTGAAAATGGCCATTAATAGTGGATTTTCCCATTTAAAATGGTGATTTTCCATAGTTATGTAAACGTTTACCAGAGGGTATTTCATGCGGATAAGGATGATTCACCAGTGGTGACTAAGGGCTAGCATATTTTCAGACAAAGCCATAGTGTATAACAACCCATATGTGGGCTTTAAAAACCGATTTCACCAAAAATACACCAAAAATGTACAATGTGAACTCCAAATGCGGTACCGTTTCAGTAGCCATTTAATCCATTTATCACTATGGGGAAGACATTAAGTTGAGTTTCCGCTCGCCTGCAGTTTCGCTTTCCGCTGTCTCCATCGCTCAATGGTGCGTCCCGCTGTTGCAGGGTGTCACGTGTGTTGTGGTGTCCAGCTTCGATGGAACGGAACTTCTGGGCTATTTATCCATTTTATCCCCATCCCTTAGGTCCCTTACCTGACTTATCTGATGCATCTGGGGCTAAGGGAAGCAATTAAGAGAACCTGGAAGTAGAAGAAAACGGCCCTATTTTCTCGTGAAAATTGAGGTTTCATCAGTCCTGGTCTGATGGACGGTTGAAGGTTGGCTCTCTCCAAAAAATATATGATTTTGATCATCTAAATTGGAATTTGATCATCTTGATATACATCAGATATATGATCATTGCAATTGCTTCAACATCTACATATATATATATATATCATATATGATCATCATATATCTATTTGATCATTGGTCCAAAAATTTGCGGTTCATGGAAGTATGCCCTGCATGGGTCGCCCCTCTTAGAATCCAAGAGATGTCCATGGACAAAGCTTCGGCATGGAGTGTCTACTTGGGGTGCAGTTCCAGTGAACTAAGTGGTTATACAACCATAATACATATATATTATATACTATGTATGTATATGTATATATGTATATCATATATATAGTATATATATAATATAATATATATATAATATAATATATATATAATATAATATATATATAATATAATATATATAATATAATATAATATAATATAATATAATATAATATAATATAATATAATATAATATAATATATATATATAATATAATATAACATATATATATATATACGAGGGTTATATCATATCCCATACCCAACTGAGAAATGAATATCAGAGTCTATCTTGGGATGTGAACAGCTACCATTTCCTGCTACGTGTTGACCCACAAAATTACATCCTCCAGCTGCGTCTTGCCCAAATATGGCTATGGAGTTTATGGCTCCAAATCAGCCCGCTATGCTTCGGTTGGAGGGAAAGTCTGCAGCAAACAAAAGTTTTATCCAAATTTCGTAACCATTTCCACTGGCGAAATTGAAAGGAAATTTACGTCACGAAACACGACTGGCCGCACTGGCCCATGGGGTCTGCAGCATCAATTTTCACCAGCCAGTGCAGCAAGTGTGGGTCAGCCCCCTCACCGAGTTCGGTGGGACTTCACACGCGCTATTTCTGCTCCGAAGGATCATAGGAACATTGACATATCTCAAACCAGCTCCAAGTGGTTATCAATGGATTGGTTTAAGGGAAAATTTACAGGAAACCATAGTTTTCCCATTAAATATGGGGTTTTCCTGCAAAATTTCCCTTAAACCAATCCATTGTGGTTCCCCTTTTTTTTCGAACAAAATATGGAACCAGCTCGCTCCCTTCACCTCTCCCTCCTTTAATCCATCGGTAGGCTGCGAAAAATATGGCGAGCAAAGCCACTACATCTGCTTGGTCAATCAGCTCACCGCATGCGACCACTGGCTGCGGATCAACAATCCGATGAGGCCTTGGAATCGCAGAAGCCGGATGGCCAGATTGCAAAGTCAAAAACCACCAACAAAACCGCGAATAAATGCTCTTGTGGTCAAGGTTTTGTGTTTGTTTTCCATGTTTTCTGAGATATGACAGAATGTCGTACCATGCAAGAACTGTCAACTGGTCGCATTTTTTTTCACTGACTGCTCGCAGGAAAGCAACGAGTCAATCACCAAAGGATTTTAAGAGGTTTCAGCTGGTTCTCTTCCAGTGCGGCCACCAAACTGGCCACGAAGAACTTGAAGACCATTGACGTTCAAAGTCACTAATAGTCAAAATGAAATTGAGTGCAAAGTCGTTGTTAAATGCCGGCCTTTGAAACCCTCTCCATCCCCGGATACATTTGGTCTGTGGATTCCAGGTATACAACTCATGGCGCGCCCCGAGAGGTTAAAGTGAGACTTGTCCGTTGACACATCCTTCGGCGCACGCGGCTCACACCTCACCTCCGATGGTTTGAGGAGGCACCTCTTCTTTCACTTCCTTGATTCCCTGTACTTCATCCTTCACATGCACTCTTCCCCCACAGGCCGCAAGTCCCAACGTCAGGAGGACAAAGCCGAAAAGGGGAATGCGCGGTCGGCCTTCATTCATCGGCCCAAACTCTGCCAGGAAGATGATATTCAACACCAAATAGATCAACATGATGAGGACACACGCGGCAACCGAAGCTTTCCATGGCAATGTTTTTCCAGCACAGGTCATGACCGCCAGTGCAATGGCCCATAGAATCACCAGCACGCTACCGACAATCCGAACCACCTCCACTTGCTTGGTGGCAACGTGGACCACTACATCCAGGAGTTGAAGGATGATGAGCCCCAGCAACAAACCGAAGAAGATGTTCCGCCACATGACCAACACGTGACGCGCCGCTTGAACTTTCAGCTGAAGCGGCTTGAGCCGAAGGTTATGGATGTCCGCAAAAAGACCCAATACACAAGCCTCCAACGTTAGGTTTCAATCATTTGAACTGCTGATCTCATATTTTCAATAGCCCCTCAGAACCAGTTCTTGTGGTCTAGGGAATCCAACGTCATTGGCCAATACTGTCAAACATCATCCAAATCTCCCCCCAAGTCTTCTGAAATATCATTCCAGGCATCCACTGATATCATCAATGAATCGTCCCAAACATCATCCCAAACATCAAATATAAAAATATGTATATATATATATACATATATATAGATAGATAGATAGATGGATGGATGGATGGATAGATGGATAGATGGATAGATGGATGGATAGATAAAGATAAGATATGATCAGATAAGATTAGATAGATAGATAGATCGATAGATATCGATATAGATGTAGATATAGATATAGATATAGATATTAATATGTGTATATCTATCTATATCTATATCTATATCCCCATACATAGAAATATAATATATCCCTATATCTATATATATATATAGAAATTTCTATAGACCTCCACCACTTTGCCATTCATCCCCCATCCCAAGGTCCCAAGGTCCCACCTCACTCGCTGCCCTCGCCGTCGGACACCGCCATGAGCCGCGGCTTCTTTTTTTCGCGGCCGGTTCCCTTCGCCGCAAGGCGGCGCTCCTGCGCGACGAAGCCTTGGGACTGCCATAGATCTATGGTATCTATGGTGGGGGTCCTCAAAATCCTCCATTTATAGTCATATAATATAATATATTGGGATAAATGGGACATAATATATTATTATATAATATAAATGGGATATAATATAATATAAAATTTTCCCATTTATCTATAATGTGGGATATAATATGATGATCATTGGGACATAATGATAGTGAAAAAGAAAATGATCAATGATGATGATAATCATAATGATAATATGGTGGTGTTCCTAAAATTGGGCTACTTAAAATCATGCATTTTTATACATGATTTTCCCATAACACATCCAACTATTGGGGTATTGCCATTTTAGTGGAAACCCCCATGGTTGATGAATACAGATTTCTGAGGTCGTATGGTTGATAATATATGGTCATAATAGTAATAATATGTAATAATCCTGTCCAATCCATGGGGGTACCCCCCAAATCATCGAAGTCATTATTGAAACGCATAGTGACTTGGGGATCTTATGATATATGGCTATTGTTTGCATTGTTAGGATGTATCATGCATTGCTATGTATTATTGTTGAAATTGGCATTGCTACTAGTTTCGTCATAGTCATCATAGTCATGATTGCTTTTATTATTGTTATTGTTATCATCACATTACTACTTCCTTCAGTAGTGTTGTGTTTACTATTGGTATTACTATGATTAATATTAGTGTTGTTATTATTGTTATTATTACAATTGGTTTCAGTGTTATTATTGGGACAATGGTATTGATGATAGTGATAGTTCTAATCATACTGATACTGACAATGATAATGATAACACAACTACAACAACTATAATCATAAGTAAATTATACTAATAGCAATGACAACAAAAAAAACATTTTCCTCATAAAAAAAAACTGCTTTTCCAGTGCTCATTATCCCATCCAATACATTCCAATACCTCAAACCTGGATGGCAAGATGAATAGATCCCAAACCTGGCGTTGATCATATGGGGTGTAGTCGCCCTTTTTTGGGGGGGAAATGATTAGTGACTATTAGTGACTATTAGTAATCACTATTAGTTACAGTACTAATTATGGATGTGTGATGCCATTACCAGTTTTTTTGGATATTGCAACTGTCATGTACCCAAAAACTGCTTGCCAACTCTCATTGTTGCTCTAAAAACACTTTTGGTACTGTTGCTGTTATTACTGTCATTTGAATCATTATTACCTTTAAATCCGAATAATTGGTTACCAATAACTGTAACTATAGTCATTTTCATTCTTAGTACTACTGTTTCTGTTATCGTCCTTATTATCAGTATGATTACTTTTTATCAGTCCTATCAAAAAACTGTTCCTATTCTTTGTACTATTACTATTGCTATCATTCAATGGATTGGTTTAAGGGAACATCTTAACCGGAAACCATTGGATACCCATAGCTCCCCTGTCTGTCTGCTAACCAGCGGATCAAAATCCTACCTTATCATTACCTTTATGATAAATTGAAGAATCAATTAAAATTTATACAGTACATATGTGTATGTATGTATATATATATGTATATTATATATATATATGTATGTATAAAACATGGCTTCCCTCTTCTTGAGGAAAGCTTCTCTCCACAAAATGGCCGTGTATATGGTAAATGGTAAATGGTATATGGTATATGTATCATGAGAATGATCTTACCAGAGTATGATCCTTTTGTGACATGCCAAGTCACACTCGTGGTTTTTGGCCGCAGCTGCGCTTGAAAGCTCGGCTTCGCTCGAGCGTCCCGCTCGTCCTAGGTTTCCCCAAAATGGCCCGGCCAAAGTGCGGATTTCATGGGTATTTAGGCAGGAATAACCAGGAAAATATGGCAAATGATGGGGATTTCATAAGATTTAACCAGGAAGAATGGGAGATTTCATGGAATTTCGCCACCAAAAATGATGACTAAAAATGGGTTACCAAACCAGAACATCGAAACCGGTTTCACCGGGTGGTTTCAACCGTGGTGAAGCCCCGTTTTTTTCTGCAGAAAACGGAGGATTTAAGCAACGACCATGGGGAGATTGAAATATGACAAGCAAAATGGCAACATGACTGCCGTTGTATCGGACAGTTACCCTCTGGTAAACTAACGTAACTATGGAAAATCACCATTTTTAATGGGAACATCCACTATAAATGGTCATGTTCAATAGCTACGTTAAATTACCAGAGGGTATGTATGGCTGAATGATGTTCAAGTTATGAATATTAGATCATTTCCAACAATAATATCCCGTGTTTTTAGTGGAAACGTCGTGTCCAACAATAAATTCCCAGGAAATTCTCAATGATGTCGGACTTCTATCTGTTTGGTGGTTGCTTTCCATCACATTCGACAGGATTGGGCATCCTGCTCATCTATTCCGTCCGATGCTGAGCCCACTCTACAACAATACATACTTATGTATTTATGTTTATATTTATATTTATAAGTATTTATAATATATACATATATATATACTATATACACATATACTTTATATATATAATGCTATCCACATATAGACCATACATATCCATACATATCCATATATGATAGATCACCAAATCTTTATATCATCCATTTTTTTTCACTGTGACCCAGCCTCAAGGAGACGTGCATGATTCGCTTCGGCCGCCACCGCCGCAGCAACCTGTGGCACAGAGCGGACGATTGGGAAAAAACCGAGGGAATTTTAGTGTGTTACCCTCTGGAAAAACTGGGGATTATAGTGGTAACCCTCTGGTAAACTGTAAACTAACATAACTATAATGGGATTACAATGGGATTACAATGGTATATAATGGTATATAATGGTATTTATCATAACTATAATAGTATAGTGGTATAATAAATGGATTATCATGGGATAAATGTGTTAGCCTCTATGGATAACTCTCCCATGATCCTGGGATAACCCTCTGGTAAACGTTTCCACTTTGCAAACTGGAAAGCCCTCTGGTAAACTGGGATCATAGTGGTATAACCATAGGAAAATAGGAAAACCATAGGAAAATGGAGGTTTACCCTCTGGTTTCTACATGAACAAAAAATGATGGAAAGATCCAGCATTTTGAATCGCTACATCAACTATAATAAATGGCCATGTTCAATAGCGAACTGTGAAATTACCAGAGGTAACCCCGCAAAAAATGAGGATTTTCAAGAAACAATTCTGACAATAGCATGAGAAAAATCGAGAATCAGCATATTTCTTTACTTGAATGAGCCTCTGGTAAATCAAACATGGCTGGAAAATGCCCCATTGATGTCACTGATTTCCCATTTTTTCAATGCCCACTGAAACCATGTTTGTTATATCTCAATATTTTCCATGGTGTTTGACCAGTTGGAACATCCAGTCTTCCCCCAGACCTGCGCAGCGGAAAGCGTCGACTTCTCTGCCGGCTTCTGGCGTGGCCGGGAAGCAAGTTTGTAGGAAGCATGGTCCATGGTGGTTTTCACCGATGTTCACCAAACAAAATTGTGAAAACTATACTTTTCACCATTAAATATCAACCCTAATGGGATATGACTTGATATGACAGGTAAAAAAAATCATGGTTCGCCTCTCCGTTCCAGTTTCATGGTTCAGACCATAAATAGACACTAAAACCACCATGGTCATCGTCATTGCGGTGTTTGTTTAAGGGTTTTTGGGGAGGGAAAGTACACTTTTATCCATGGTTGATGGTCAAAGCCACCAAACTTGATAGGTTTATTATCCATTGTTGATCCCATACCCTTCAGTAATTTCAACATGATTATGGACAATCACCATTTGTGCCAAGTACCCTAAGGTAAACGTTTACATGTGGAAAAACCCCATGGTTTCCCGGAAAATCGTCGACACATGGTTGACGTTCCACATTGATGTTACCATCTGGTTATTTAACATAGCCATGGAAAGATCCACCATTTTTAAGTTCGGTAAACCATCTATTTCTATGGGCCATCTATACCATGGCTATGTTAAAATAACCAGAGGGTAGTTTTACCCTAGGGTAGATCACATATCCAGGGGTCATGGCTTCCATGGCACCTCTTCACCATTTCGCTTCAATCTGAAGCCCATCTTCTCCTCCACGGTTGTCATACCCACTATGGAAGTAGGGATATAGCGACCCCCAAAAAGATAGAAAAGTAGTTTTTTGCTATATTAGTAAGATTTCACTTTTCTATCTTTTTGGGGGAATCGCTAAAAAAAGAGATCAGTTGCCCATATCCAGGCAATTATACCACTTTTAAAGGGTGTTTTTTTTCTAATTCGTCCTGTGGCGGGAAAGTACCACAGCTGTATCACTGTTCTCAGCCTCTGGTCATCAGCTCCATGGCTGGACAATCCACCACTTATGTACTTTTCCCAGCGAACTCAACCTCCATTTAGTGCAGGAATTTGAAGGGTAATACTCTTGGTGATACGGACCAAAAATGCCTGGCGCCGTTACGAAGTTTTTCAAGGTCCTCCTTCCCATCAGCTTGAAATCCACGCCGCTTGAAGACAGCTTGTTCCCTCAGCTGAATTTCAGACCCCCACCAAGGTTATTCATGGGTATAACTATGGGAATTTAACCTCCATAAGTTGGGATATGGGGCCCCTACCACTATGCTTATATAACCAACATGATCGGTTTAGAGGAAACCAATCCCCATTGTCCATCAAGATTTGGTATAACACCATGCAAATCCATTCAAACCTCAGATTCACCATGGAGAACTGCTATAAAATGGGGGGATGCCATATTTCCAAACACACCCAAGCGGTTTGGAATTTCCATCCTCTGCACATCGGATGCTTCACGTGTACATCCTCCCCTTCGCATGAAGTGTTTTTTCCGCCTCTACGGTGTTTTTGTTCCCTTGTGCCATGGGGAGAGGTTGCAGTTGACGAGGTGAATGTAATCTTGGGTAGGTGTATGAGTTGGATTGAATTTCTGCACATCGGATGCTTCCCCTGATGTTCGATCCAAGAAGCCAACAAAACAAGCCCAGACTGATTGCGTTCGCGTTCTCTTTGTTAAGTTTCCACATATTTCCACACATTACTACCATCTGGTTATTTAACATAGCTACTGAAAATGGCCATTTATAGTGGATTTTCCCATTGAAAATGGTGATTTTCCATAGCTATGTTAGTTTACCAGAGGGTATTAATAAAAATGGCAAGAAAACATATATCACGTAAAAAATCGCGTATCCGTATCATTCCATGGATTCCGTGATGGCATCAGCATTCCGGCCCCTGGGCTGGCCTTTCCAGCGGTGTGGCAGGGTGCAACCTGGGACATCTGGGACCATGTTAAACCCCTGAGCGGTTCCCCCAGAGACTGAAAACCAACAAGCACTGATGTTGGGAATGGCTTATTTCATGGGGATTTTTGAGGGGGAAATCATCTAGAAATGGGAGAAACATCGTTGCATAGTTGCATGTTTTTGTCAACATTAAACAGCACCAGATCCCAAGGTTGCTCATCATATTAGGTTGACACCGCACATTGCACCATTCTCAGGTGCAAACCCATTCTGGTGCGGTGCCTTGACGAGTTCCTGAAAAGTTGGCTGAACTGCTGACATCACACAGCAAAGTTATGACAGGCAAAAAAGGGTAGCAACATGTCTCTGACAAATCGAGTATCCCATCCATTCCCATGGTTGATTGATTTATGGCCACAAATCGGGGTATCTCTCAAACACTCAGAAAGTCCCAAATCGACCCATCAGATCATCTGCCACCGCGTTCTGAGCACAGCCTCCGCAGAGGCCACCCCAGTGGATTGGAACCTCGATTTGGGCAGACGGCAAGTGAGGATTCTGCGGTAAGATTTTCTGGTTTGGGATCATACATGAAATGCGAAGAGATCCCAAACTTATCTTTTTATGTATATAAATATATATATATATGTATATGTATATATATGTCATATATGTCATATATCATGTTGACACTACACGCATCAACTCATCGATGCAACTGCACCATTCTCAGGTGCAAACCCATTCTGGTACGGTGCCTTGGGGAGTTCCTGAAAAGTTGGCTGAACACCAGTTCTTTTGCCGCTGCACTGCTCCCCCTACATTCCAATTCAACGTTCATTGCTTGTCTCAGCTAATTATAAACCTCCAATTAGTTTGGGGATTTGCCACTCGCTTTGTGGGTATACATACATACATTATATATATATCCCATTCATTCTTGGGTGAAAACTGCTGGCTGACCTCCTTCTTTTCTTTGTCACCACGATTGAAGCCCGCAGTTTGCCTCAGCAGAAATTCCGAGAAATTCCGAGCCCTGTCCACCGCCAAGTCATGATCGGTTTTGGAGGAAACCAATACCATTTGTCCATCATGGGTTATTGTTTTCCTCTAAAATAACCATATATTTCCTCTAGAATATCCCAAGTTATTCCAAATTCTGGGAATTTAACCTCCATAAGTTGGGATATAATATGATATATTTGTCCATCTTTGGTATCACACCATACAAATCCATTCAAACCTCAGATTCACCATGGAGAACTGCCATAAAATGGGGGTATGCCATATTTCCAAACACGCCCAAGCGGTTCGGAATGTCCATCCTTTGCACATCGGATGCTTCATCGGTCATGGATGTTATGGGAGCCGAAAGCGATTCCTTCGTAACTGGTAACTGATTCCACAAATTGCACCATGGCAAACTTGCGTGACGCAAAAAAAGGCAAACGGGAACTCCAAGTTTTCAAAACCATGCGCCAAGGGTTGCGCCAAGGGTTGGGCCACATCCTTCGACACGTCCTTCGACAGTTCTGGGGCTTCTGGCGGTTCCTGCGGAGCCTGCGGTGCTGCCGCCATTTGCTCCTCATCTGCGGCTGCAGAGGCAAGGGCTGCAGTGGGCTGGAACCTTGGCTGTCGGAAAATCCTCTGTAAATGGAGCTATAATATAGAACATGATGGGAAATATCAATGGGACTAGAATGGGATATAGAACCTGATAATTCATGCAAATGGGACTATACTGGGATATATACCCAACTTGATATGATATCTATGTGTCAATGGGAGATGGGCCCCAGCTTGTGGCTATTGCGGAACATGATGATCAAACTCCGGGGGTTGCTTTCTGGTCGACCTCAACTTGGTACATACGGTACCGCTGTTTTCGGTCACACCTGGCAGTGGGAAATCCAGCATTCATCCACCATTCATCGATATTTCTGATGATGTTCCAATTGAAAACTCCATTTCAATGGATTGGTTTAAGGGAAAATCTTAACCGGAAACCATGGTTTTTGCCATCAAATATAGGGCTTTCCTGTAATATAGAGTGACATGCATCGACTCATCAATGCAGCTCAGGTCCAAACCCGCCCGGTTGCACTCGACGGGCGACAATTTCCTCGGGCGCAGTTCACCACTGGGGATAGGTGCAGCCCCCATAGTCAGCTAAGTTGATTCATAAATCTTACAACTCACTATAAATTGTATTAGTTGATCTATATAGGTATAGATATGTATTAGTTGATCTAAAACTCTCATATATCATATCTCACTAATGTTTCTGAAATAACTAGAATTGGATTTTTCCCAACTTCTATGGGGCGCCAATCTGCGCATATCATCCAACAAATCCGTGGATCTTCCATCGTCGCACAGGTGATCTTAATGAAATTTACCCGGCCTGGTAAACGTTTACATAACTATGGAAAATCACCATTTTATAGCTGGGAAAACTCACTATAAATTGCCATTTTCAATAGCTATGTTAAATTACCAGAGGGTATCTGGAATTGGAACCATTTCCCCGACCCCAAACTAAAGTTGTTGAAGATCAGCAAAATTGAAACTACAACAAGCCAATATGTGTCTCAAAATAGGTGTCCCAAAAATTTCCCATAAATTTCCCCATGTTTTATCTAATGATCATAAATTTGGGTGCCCTCCATTTTTGGACAAACTCAAATCATACTGTTGGTATCTGTTGGTTATGTATACAATATAATATAATATAATATAATATAATATACTATGATATGATATGATATGATATACTATGATATGATATGATATGATATGATATAATATGATATGATACAATACAATACAATACAATACAATACAATACAATACAATATAATATAATATAATATAAATATAATATGAATATTATATATATATTATATATACATAATTATATATATATATGTGTGTATCATACATCCAACTGATTAAATAGTCCAATCTATCCCCATTGCATCTCCAGGAAATGGTCGATTCAATTCCTCAACATCCGTTTGCCAGCTAGTTATCACCCATGATATCCCATTGTATTCCAATGGTTGTTGAATCTAAAACTCCATTGTCCATGAAATCCCCTACCCCCGTCCTATCAAAATAGCCCCGTCTATTGAAACTCTGGTTTAGCATTGGATCTATTTATATCTGGGTCCATAGAGGTTGTTGTTAATTCCAGTTGACATGCCATGAAGATCCACTTGGAAATCCCCACAAAAAATCCCCATAATGTTGGTACTGTTTTCTTGTACACGTGAAATCCAGCATTTTTGATGGTTTGATCCATGCTACACCCATGAAAATATGGGGAAATGGGACCGGTAACCGCCGGTAACCCGATCTCCAGAGTCCGAGCGTCTGCCACCTCCGCCCGTCCATCCGAGAGATGCTGCCGGGTGAACTGGGCCATTCATGGCTGGAAAAAAATGATGATGATCCACTGTTTTTAAGCCCTGAAAACCAGTTAACTAAGAATGGCTGTAATACATGGGATATAATGGGATTATGATGATTCCATAACTGGGGTTATAACGGATTTTTTTTCTGGTGGGCCATAAGCGCACTGGAATAGGGATAGACCCAATTCTTTAAACAAAGCCACTTCTTCCGCGGTTGTGGAAAGCATCAACTTACCATTTGTCCAACAGTCGAGGAAGACAGCGACTGAAGTCATCACTCAGCGGGATCTTAGTTCCATTAACTTTCACTAAGCCTCACTACCCTCAAGGTCCTGGAATGGCAGTGATGCTCCTGTGGTCAAACTGGTACTCTGTATGTACCTATATATATATGTATATATATATATATATGTTATGTATATATATATATATACGCTCGGGGCCCTAGGTTTCCGCAGAGTATCTTGGTTCTCATTGATCCATATGTCAAAAATCATTGTTTCGCCACAGCGAAATGTGGATTTTGCACATTCTTCTTTTTTTTCTTTAATGACAATGTTACGGAGCTAAATTTTTAGGCCCGCGCAAGTTGCATGTTATGACATGTTATCCACAGTACATGTCAATTGTGATTTTCATGTTTTCCTACACGAAATACCACTCTTCATGAATTTCTTTGTTTTTTGTTTATCCGGAATTGTCATTTTTTCCTGCGGTACGTGGGGTAATATGAAGAGGTGTTTTTTTTATTGGTATTTGCAGTGGATTTTTAACGTTAGCATGAAACGGCACATGTTGATAGTCAGCCTTTTTTTTGCTCGTTGTTGCTTCAACTTCATCAGCCTGCTGCAACATGTTTTTTTCAAAGTTTCTGATTTTCTTGTTTTCCCACACGAAATAGCACATTTCATGAAAGTCGGTGTTTTTTTTTAAGCGGAAAAGTGCTGTTTTTACTTCCGCTCGTGGTGTAATATGAAGGGCTGTTTTTTTTTATTGGTATTTGCATTTTTTTAATGTTAGCATGAAACGGGACATGTTGATAGTCACCTTTTTTTTTTCGTTGTTGTTTCAACGTCAACACCCTGCTGCAACATGCTGCAACATGTTCTTTTTCAAAGTTTCCACGTACCATGAACATGACCATGAACATCCACGTGTTAACATGCCCCACCCCACATGACCCATTAACGCCCCACCCCACCCCATACCATGAACATGACGTCACATGCCCCACCCCACCCCACCCATCAACGTACATGAATATGACGTTAACATGCCCACCCCACCCCACCCATCAACGTACCATGAACATGACTTAAATGCCCACCCCACCCCACCCATCAACGGACCATTAACATGACCTTAACATGCCCCACCCCACCCCACCCCACCCATCAACGTACCATGAACATGACGTAACATACCCCACCATAACGTACCATGAACATGAGTTAAACAACCCCACCCACCCATCAAACGGACATGAAATGACCTTAACATGCCCCACCCACCCCACCCATCAACGTACCTGCTATGACGTAACATGCCCCACCCCACCCCCACATTCACGTAACATGAAAATGACGTTAACATGCCCACCCCCACCCCACCCATCACGTACCATGAACATGACCCTGACATGCCCCACCCCACCCCCACCCATCAACGTACCATGAATATGACGTAACATGGCCCACCCCACCCCACCCATCAGACGTTACCATGAACATGACCTTAACATGCCCCACCCCCCCCACCATCATCAACGTACCATGAACATGACATAACATGCCCCACCCACCCTCCATCAGACGTACCATGAACATGACCCTAACATCCCCACCCCACCCCTCCCATCAACGTACCATGAACATGACGTTAACATGCCCCACACCACCCCACCCCTTGCGGAAACCTGGGGCCCCGAGGGTATATATATTTACCTGATATATACCTGATATATACCTGATATATGCATACGTCATTCAAAGGCCGTATTCAAAGGGATGCTATTCAGCTTTGCAAAGGTCAGAGGCAATTTGGCTGCGAACAAGCAACAAAATGCATTGAGGTAGCCCAAAATGGAAAATATTTGTCATTTTAATTTAAAATAAAAAATAAATAAATAATAAATAAATAAAAACAAAAATAAATTAAAAAAATAGAAAAAATACAAAATGTATATATATATATTTGGCCGATTTTTTGCTTCCAATACTACTTTTAGAAGGGGGCAGGGCACCCTTCTGCGCAACGACCTTGTCCCACACCTCACAACGCAGATTTTTTTTTCATAGAAAAAAAAAATCATAGGAAAAACTATTTTTTCATAGAAAAAATTGGGCCCAATTCCATCGATTTTAAAATATCATAAAACAAGATAAATTAAGATAATTTAGCAAAAAGACTCTGATTAGCACCCCTTTGAATAGAGCCCCAGAGATGGAGAAAGAATATGGTTGTGACTCAAAAAAAAGCTATGGATCAGTCTGGATCACCTGCGGGGATCTGAGGTATGCATCATCGGTCACAGCACACAATCACACCACATCACACCCGCTCCAGCCGCAAAATATTATGACACCTCCCCATCTGGGCGTGTCTGAAGATGGGATATCCG